TCACAGTTAGGTTGCATGTATGACGGTGCTAATGCGAGATGTTTATGTTGAATGAACAGCCGAAACAGACGAGAGATACACATTTTACTGAAAAGACTATACCTGAAAAGAAACTTACTGCATCCAACGTTTCATTCTTAAAGTCGTTGGATTTCATTGTACAAAATGGCTAATAACATTACCGGTGAACCGATCTTTGATGACCACATCGTCAAGATTGAGACTCACACGTACAATCCATACGCCAACTACGTTTGGGCATAGCAACAAGATACGGATGCCTATACAGCAACAGGATTTATACACTTTGCCGTGCGACAGTTTTCTCTACATCGAAGGAAGATTGATGGTAAAGAAGAAAAATGATCAGATGTCGACGACGCTTGAAAATAATTGCGTAGCGTTCATGTTTAATAAAATTCGATATAAACGGTGTGGAGATTGACCGCAACAGAAACGTTGGAATTACCAGTACCATCAAGAACTATGCATCAATGACGTACAAAACTTTGATTGTCTTGAACGTAAAATGGAACTTTAAATCCGACACGGAGGAAGGATACTTTAATTTTTGCGTGCCGCTCAACATATTGGGCTTTTGCAAGGATTACAAACGCATGGTCGTCAACACTCGCCATGAATTGATTTTGATACAATCGCGCAATGATTACAATTCCTTAGTGGGAAATCCTATGACGGAACCTGAAATTAAATTATTTAAAGCGTATTGGCGGATGCCTCACATTGCGTTAAACGAGATCAATAAATTATCAATTTAAATTATGCTGCGAGCATTGGGCGTTATCTAAGCATGAGTTTTCGCTTGGATCTGTATCCTCTGTCACAGAATACGTGAATACCAAGCATTCATGTGTTTCAAAATGGTTGACTCAACTTGAAAAGCTGCGATATGTTATTTTTGCTCTACAGACCGGGAAAGAATATCATGTCACGAGATGTTAGCGTGTTCGACAATTGTAATTTGAGTAACGTGAAAGTATATCTAAATTCAGAATTTTATCCATACGACGAATCTGGATTTTGGCAAAAAGAAATACGCCTGTTTGATATGTACGCGAATTTTCGTAAAGCATATTATGGAATCAACTGCTTCGAAATGTTGCACGATGTGCTTTATCGAAAAAGGACTTTTTACAGTTATTGATTGCTCGCGACAAAACGAATCCGTCAAGAGCACTACTGTGGACATACGCATAGAATTTAAGGAGATGCTGGAGTGTCCTGTTTTATCATTAAATTTTAAAAACGCCTTTCTCGTAACTGTGTTTATGGATTAAAAAATCCTTCTCCACTCTCAATTAAAGTATCGACAACAACGCAAATCGTCAGCTACATTTGAATACGCAAAACGAAAGAAAATTAAAGACTTACAGTTTTGTTATCGGCTTTTTTTGTCAAAACATCACAAAATGTGTTGCATATAAGAGTTTCAGATCTTGCACATTCATAAAAAGTAGCTGGCGAATTGCGGAAAACCTAAACGAACAATCCTACGCTTTTAGAAACGCGGTAGGAGATTTCGTATAAGAGAAAGGCATATACAAAAATTTCGTTTGTATATGACGAGTGAAATTGACGTGAAGTCATGAAACTAAGCAGTATTTTAGTTCCGCGATATTCCGACAGCGGCGCTGTCATGAAAAGTGCGTCGCTGAACCATAGAAATAATCTGAATTATCGCCCTACTCAGGCCCATATCAATAAACGTGCCCTGATCAAAGTTTTTTCTTTTGAGAGGAAAAATAATAATAAAATAAATATGATATTAGTTATTTCAATTTTGTTGAAATATAATAATAATTTCTTCCTAAACAAGAAACATACCATATTATTTACATATGAATACAAATGAAGATAATTATTTTAATTACACTGTTCTGTCTTTTACATACATTTTATTTAGTAAATTATTGATGCATATTATATGTGCGAGAATGTACCGCGCGAAAAGATTCGAGTGAGAGACCGGCACACGGCTGGCATGATACACGACAGTAAAGAGAACTCAGTTTCTTTGTAATTTAACAAAAGAATTTTCTTTAATATGCACAATTACAAATTCAGCAAATATAATTAATTAAATATTAGATTGACAGAATATTGAATGCGGTCACCTTTTCCCAACACAATTTGGAATCACGGTGATGAGAAATCTCGGCGATTTTCTCGGCACTTCTCGAAAGATTCGTTTTATAGCGGTTTCACTAAGCGGTTAGCACGGCGATTTTACGAAGCGAGATTATGATTCTAAGAACTCTAAGAACTGTTAGACTCTAAGAACTTTTACAAGTAAGAAGGAGGACGATGAGATCGAAGCATTTATTGCTTTCAGCCTGAGCTTTCTTTTTTGGGAAAAATCCAATAAAAATTTGCCACAATCGTAATTATTACGTGGCATTAGGTGTACAAAATTGATTGGCGCTTTGGATTCTTTTCTAACGACGTTCAACGTAACAGTCATGCGCGACAGAAAATCCGTGCGTGGGATTGGTGACAGCGCGTGACGTATTCGTCGGAGCGCGGCGCTCGCGTGCGCGAATTGAATCGTTCTAGAACTTTCGATTGTCCATTGCCGGATAACGACAACTTGTTTGCGTGTAACGACTTGTTTTTAAAAAGAACAAAGAACACCAAATCGCTGATTTTAACGAGGATCATGCTCGAGATGAAATCACGAGCTCAATTTATGCATGCGTTCAATGACAATTAATGTCGTATATACAATATAATAGCATAAATACACACGCATGTGCGTATGTATGCGTGTGCGCGCGCGCGCGCGTGTGTGTGTGCGTGCGTACATACATACAACACAGGACAAGCGGCAATCTCGTAGTAGACGCATATAAATGAAATTTTCGAATACTCTTTGTTCTTATACTAAAGCTCGTAACTCGTTTCTGCAAACATAGTATTGTTCTTTGAGGTTTTCTGTAAATCGCCAGCTACTTATGCAAGATCTGAAATTATTGTATACAGCACATTTTTTATTCGACTC